TTTTATAATGGAAGTGCTTTTTATTGCTCACATATTTTCAAACCTCTGCATGTGGCCTGGCTAATCTTGCTATCCTTTCAACGAGCAGAGGGAAATAAAGGGTTAACATGTCAGTCCTGCAACTGAACTTGATAAAACACCCATGTTAAGTTATGTATGCTTTAAGCGTCATCATTTTTTTAAATGTTTGCATTCTGCATCTGAAAATTGCATTTACATTATCTACCTTTAAAAGAAGAACTTTGTGAAAAAACTATTCTTAACCCTTCCAATGGGACTACCCCTGCACTGCAAGAGATAAGTGCTCGTTTTCATCTAGGGTGTAAAATAACAAACGTTATACTCTTTTGAAACTCTGAGGCAGCTGGCTCCTAGGCTGCTCCCTTCAGTCTGTCTCCTCCTCTGCTGCAGCGATGGAATATCTTTCAGGGTCCTCATGTCCTATACACAATGTATTGGATCTGATGACTCAAGGATCTTTAGAACAGAGGGGGAGAGAGGCTGGAAGGACCAGACTAAAGCTGCCCATACATCTTACAACCATCGCACGACTTTCGTTGTGCGATGGTTGTAAGGTGATTAAAATTTCGTACGACCTGCCCATCTTGGACAGGCAGATCGTACTTGCGATCATCGCAAGAGGGGAGGGCTTGCCGATGATTGCAATGCTGAGCCGGCGGACACCGGCCTGTGCGGCTTTCGTCTTGTGATCGCGCTACCAACAGGTTTTCTAGTGTGCTCGTAAGACGAAAGTCGTGCGACCGTACAGTAAATGCGGTCGCACGCTGCCCATACACCTATTATCGTACAATCGCGGGATCACCCGCGATTATCGTATGATAATCGTCAGGTATATGGGCACCTTAAGAGCCAGCTTGCTCTGAGGTTTAGGTGAGAATTTTTTTTTTTTTTTTATTATTTTACACCCTAGACAAAAACAAGCAAGGGTTAAGAATACATTTTCCCAGAGCACTTCTTTAAAGCAGAAAACCGATTTGGAGTGACAAGTTATGCAGTGTGAGATTCAAACTGGAATTGCAAAATTAAGTCAATTTGACATTTTTTAAGGATACTAAAAGGGATAGTGGAAGAACCTCACCAATGAGCAGGTTGTAGAGGTGCAATCATAAAAAGTAGTGTAATTCCCTTAGCTATATTCTGTGCCAGGCAGTAGCTGAATAGCAATACATATATTTAGGCAAGTAAAATAGTTCACTTATATGTACTTCAGCTTTGTAATTATCGTTTTGCCTGGAGTTCCATCTAAAGATGAATGTAAAACTAAATATATTACATACACATTTATAAAACATGTGCTGTATATTTAGTGCATGAGAACAAAAACTCTCAAACAACCATATAAAGAGAATACATTTTGAGCAACTGTTCAGTTAGGGGAAGTATGCACAGGTCACAGAGTGCCCACACACGTACAGATAGTTCCCAATCTATCTACTGGCTTGATAGAACAACAATCAGTGTCACCACCAAACCCCTTTGTTTACAGAGATGCATGAATTATACTGGTCCTGCGGTGGATTAAGTTCAGGTAAGACTGGGACTGAATTGGCCATAGAACCTGTGTAATTTAGAAGTTCAGTAACTAGCCTTTGCTACAATCATCCCATGTCTGTGCTTGACTTCCAGAAGCTTTTAGAAATATCACTGAGAACTGACTAAATGATAACCGTTATTTACAGAATCCTTTAACAAATATACCACTAGATGGCAGCATTGCACCCAAGTTAAGTCTAAAATGTAAATACTTCACAGTCACTTATGGTTAATATATAAATTAGGAACTAAGAATATATATTTGTAAAAGCCTAAAGAAAAGGCAGGCAATTACATTTCAAGCATTCATTCTGAGAATTGAAATCACATTGTTTGTAAGTGTCATCCTGTAAGAAACACTTTTTTTAATTACTATGTATTCTTATATAAAACTTTGTCAAATATGATAAGGCTTTACAAACTAGTAAAGAAAAAAGAATAATGAATGTCGGAGATTCCAGATTCCACTTACTCCTTATCATTAAAAGAGAACTGTACCTTCAAAACAAAACATGCTCTTTTAACATACACCACCAAGAAAGTTTTCATTTACCCCCCACCTTTTCTTCCCCTGTGCTTAGGGCTGTCAGCAGAGGTCTATACCAGTGTAAATATTGTTTTGATTACATTCAGCATGTCTGCATTAGCACTGCAGAAAAGTATACAGGAAAAGCATCTGCTCCACATACCTGTTTCAATTAATGTATTTCATGCCAGGAGCAATACATTATTTATTCCACGTTGCACTGCATGAGCGTAAACACTTCAAAATAAACACAAACTGGTAGCCACTACTTACATTTTCATCAAGTCATCAAGTCCTGTCCCCAGAATGTACATCTAGAGGGAAATCTGATGCTTTCCCTTATAATTCCAAGGTACTTAAGGAATGAAGCCAGGTTATAACAAGACCATTATTCCTAATTTTTATGGAATCCTTAGTGACTGGTAGGGTACTATGTGATTGGCGGAGGGCTACGGTAGTTCCAATATTCAAAAAGGGGGCAAGATGCCAACCAGGGAACTATAGGCCGGTCAGTCTAACATCGCATGGATACCAGTATCCCTAAGAATAGATGATGCACGTATGTCTTTATTCAACCCCAAATACTATGTAACTATGTCACTCCTTTTGTGGAGACATGTCATCTCCGCATTGTACTACCTAAAAGTATGTTCAGGCTGCCTGCTTCTAGCAATTCACAGGCTTTGATAACTGCATTAACATTTATGCTGCATTGCAGCATAGAAATAATCAGTTCATCGTAATCACTGACTACAAACATGTATGTGGAGAAGATACCTTCATGATTCTAAGTCCTTGTATCCTGTTAAAGAGATACAGATACAGACAGGCTGAATGTAACCACCTAGTTGATCCTGTGACTCCAGTTTTCAGGGCATAAGAAAAGGAAAGGCAGCAGTAAGATGTTATATTAACAAAAGGTTAATGTATTTTACACCTAACGTTATTTTTAAAAGGAAAATGATAATGGCTTTGGGTCAAGTTTGCACTAAGGTAAAGCAATACTCCTGGATTTTTTTTTTAAACATCACAGTGTATCCTGTCGTTTACCACCCCCTCCTTTCTTCTCATCCATTCACAAAACGCTTAGTATGCTTTTCACAGAATACAAGGCGTTTCGTGAATAGACAAGGGAAGATTTTGTTGTTTACCCTCTGCTTCTCTTACCCCTTGTCCATTCACAGAATGCCTTGTGTTCTGTAAAAAATACAAGGCTTTTTGTGAATGAATGTGGGAAGAGGAGGGGACGCATAACAGGATCCTTTACTGAATGAGACCCCAAACTATCAGTGCCAGAAGAAGAGTGTTGTGTGTAGTATCCAGGATAAATGAAGCTAGGATTTGCACAGTAACCAGCAGTGATCCCAGCAAAGTATAGTCTTCATTAGAGGTAAATTATTTACATTGTGGTATTTTCCGACATAAATAAAAATAATTTCTAAGATTTCGATTTAAGCTTGTAGGTTTTAAAAGTTATCTTTCATTTCTGCTTTTTACTAAAAGAATACAATGTCAGTTTTAAGAATACATTTTAATATATAACACAGGATTCCCAAACATTATTGATTAGCTAAAGAGACAGCACAGCAGGTTTAGCTCTCTTTTAGCACAGCTGTCTTCTTCCATTGAAACATGGTTGTGGGTTGTAACTTGGTCAAAATCTATGGGAAGCGCTTTTGACTAGTCTCGAAACGCCAACAGGCCCTGATCCCCTATAATATTTATGGCCACTAAACAAACTATTGCTAGATCATGGAAATCTCGTGCCCTTAGTGTTTTGGAATTAAATAGGATCACAAGCACCATGATGAAAAATTGTCAGCAATTTTAGCCGATTCCCATAAAAATGTTTTGAGGATTAGGAGACCCTGGATATCAAGCCCACAACATTTCGATTCTGCACTGGTATCGTCCTAGCTTTGTCAATTTACTCTCCATGGTGGACCCCACTCGGCCTTTTTTTTTCTCTGGCTTCCTATACAATTTCCTTTCAATCGTGTTCCTAGATTCTTCCATTCTCTGCCTTTTTCTATTCCTCATTCTTTGCCCCTTACCTCCATTTTCCCTACCCCTTTTTCCTGGTTTTTAACCCCTCCCTTACATTAGATTTAGTTAATTGTTTTTCCTGAAACACGTTGGATATGGTATCTTCAGATTGTTTACTGCTGCTGCATCAGCTAATTTATACCTTTATCTTGCAACTGTTCATTGTATATCTAAAAATTAATAAAAAGTTTGTGAAAGAAACTTCTGACTAAGCGCTCTGAGAAAGGATGAGTCATTGTTCTGATTCATCTGGTTTTGTGGGTACAGTTCCCCAACCCTAATGATTAAATGACTTCAATAAACATGTGGCAGATGAAAAGATTGATGAAATGGGGCTAGAGCTTCACCTGCTGGAAATGAGGACTTTATATTATTCACCTGCAATATTTCAAATAACTACCTTATTTTTAAAACATACTATTTTCTAAATGTTTCATTTTTTCTGATAAAAAAAAGAAAATATGTACAAAACCGTATACATTACATTTTCTACCTTAAAGTAAACCTGGTAAAATAGAAATAGGGAACTGTCATTCTGACCATAACTAATGAAAAACTGATCTGGAAAACTGGCCAAGACAGCACTGCAGACTTCCAGAATTCACTGTCTGAAAACTTGATCTAGGTCTGTCATTCGCTAGGTAGTGATGCCAAGATGAAGATTTTTGTCCTAAAGCCTGCACCTTTAAAACAATTTAGTCAGCAATGGCAGCTCCCATATTTACATTCTCACAGGTTTATTTCAAACAGTTTGCTTTCAAAAGTAAGGCGTCTGCTAGGAAACTTTCTGTTTACTCACTGTCCTCCAATAAATCAGTGATATTCAGATCCAAGGAAGGAAATATTTTGTTGAACATCTTGAAGTCTTTTCCAAATCGAGGCATCTGAACTATTAGGCATGATGGAGCCTATGAAAAAAGGAATACATTACAGAAACTGAAAAGACAAAACTAAATAAAATTGACTCATATAAAGAGCTATACTATACAGCCAAAAGTATGTAACTACCATTCAAATGGCTGAGTTCAGTATGCTACTGCATACAAAGATATTTTAGAAAACTGTGCACTTACAAATTTATGGCAACAGTTTGGGGAAGGCAGCCAGCTCTATAAAGAATGGAGTGAAGAATGTTAAAGGCACAGAACCAAGACCACAACCCTTTTGAACACCGTATGAAAAATGGAATGCAGATTGAGATCCAGGTCTTCTAATTCAGCATCAGTAGGTGATGCTCATGCAGGGCAAAGTCTCTGGAAAAGGAACCCCACAGACCGACTTAAATTTACCCGATCAGCACTCCCTGTTACAGCCGGTGACATTACCTGGCACCTCTGATAATGGTGGAACATGATCTCCTTCTCTGTGACAATTTTTAGTTCTAGCAGCCAATCACTAAGCCTGAGCACCATCACATGACAGAGGGACTGACTTCACCGCTCACTCTAGCATCCATTGATGAGCAGACAGTGTTTTTTTACACTTTTGAAATCATCAAGTATACCCAATCGTGCTTATTTTTCCGCAGAAAGGTTACTTTATGTGGCTTTAGATGTAATCAGTAGAAAGCAGAGCTTTTTCTTATGATAAAGTTGTAAATGTGAAATAAGGCATTTGTATACACAAGATTTGCAGTTGCTAATCCCACAGAATACAGTGCAAGTAGTTTCTCCAATAAACCTGTTCCAAATAGATATGACTGATAAACAGCATTGCTACGTACATGGATGTAGCGTTCTATTATCTTTTGTGGTAGGATTAGTGGTCATTTGAAAAGAAGGAGCTTATGTCTAAAGCTCTTCAAGATTTGGTTGTGTTAACTTATAATCCTAGGTACTTAGGTACTCTCAAGACTAAAACATACAAGGAGCACAACGTATCTGCTCAGGACAGGAGCCAATTAAACTGCTAACATGTCTTTGGTGTGTTGGAGCAAACCTGGAGAAAACCTATGCAAGCTCAGGAGAACATGCAATCACCATGCAGATAGTGTTCTGGTTGGGATTCAAACTGCAAGGGAAGCTAACTACTATGCCACTGTGCTCTGTGTGTGTGTGTGTTATATATATTGAAAACTGCATTAATATGCTACAATAAAGGCAGGACAGAATGTCCAAACCTATTTCCTCTGGTACTGTGTTTCACCTCTGCAAACTTCAGATTGCTGTTTATAAATGACCACTCCAATAGTTGTTGTATGGTGGGAACCCCAACATTCTCATTTTTTTCCATGAAGATTTGGTAAAAGTAGCAATCTTGTACTTTCTGACCTGCTGACCTGAAAAAAAAAAAGATCACTGAATTAAATAAAAAGTATACTCTAGATTTACTTAATTAAGTTCAAGTTAAAGGGTAAGGGTCATGTCTCTAACCATCATCTATTCATCACTCTGGTCCCACTGTCACACTCAAAATATAAAAAAGAAAGAATTTAAAGGAGAACTATGAGATGAGTGCTTTTCCATCCCTTCATAGTTCTAGCCGGCCTGTGACAATGAGACTGTCACAGGTCGGCTCAGTAGATCGGGAGGTGAGCGAACACATACCGGCGTTCGCTCATCTTTCGATCCTGTCACGGCTCTCCTCCGTGACAGGGGAGGGGCTGGATTCCCCCCTCCCTGCTCCGATCCGCCAGCGCTGACTGGCGGAAGGGACGGGGGAGGGGGCGGGTACAGCTGGATCTGCCTCTAGATAGGCAGAGCCAGCTGTCAGTCACGCAGCTGGGCGGATCCCGGCATAATTGTCGGGATCCGCTTCAGCTGCGGCGTCTCAGTATACCGCGAGCAGCAGCTCGAGGTATACTGAGGCCTGGCGCTACCGCAAGGCAAGTCAGGCGGCCACCTTACGGCGCTGCAGGGTGAGGGCGGAAAAAACAGGGAATTTTGACAAGTACTTGTCAAAATGCCCCATTGTTTGCGCTATGTTTTTTTTGTTTTTCACTTACCTTCGGTGCGGGAGAGCAGCGGCAAGTCAGTGCTGGTCCGGTGGGAGGAGCTCCAGGTGGGGTCCTAATTTAGCTGGCCGGCGACTGCCTGAGGATCCCTGCACCAAATCAGTCAAGCAAAACAAAATGACAAACGCACTCAACAATTTGTCACCAACTATACAGTAAGGTGCACACGAAATGGGCTTTAAACAGTAAACAGTAGAAAGGTATCATGGCACACTCACAAGTCAGCACTGCACCAACAAGTCTCACAAGTTGGTGCAGTGACGCATGGGGGTTCTCAGCTGCCATTGGGATGTGAGAAACTTAAAAGAAACATTTTAACATATTGGTCTGACTATTCTTGGAACTACCACTAGGTGTCATACTATCCCCATTTTTATTTCAGAACTCTGCCCTATTAATAACATTGTCTGAGGGATGAACTGCCATAGACAACTACTAAGCATCAGCCACTGAAATGTACAATCCACAAATCTAGCTGGGAAATTATAATTACATTTGAAGCCAAATGATTCCTGGCAACCAAAACAAAACAATCAGTGTAAGGACATTTCACCAACATAGGTTTAGACAGCAATAAAACACATTATGTAATGACAGGTGTGTTCCCGTTGCAGAGATTTCCCCTCACTACTTGTCACAGGAACTGTGGTCACCAGGACAGAAAAGCACCAGCAATGAGTTGAGTGCATTTGTTTTCGTTTTTCAAGCTAAAAACATTTTTCCGCATGAATACAAAATATGTTTTGACCTTGGCAGAAATGCAGTGTCCTAGTCACTTCCTGTAAGCTGGACTAAAAGCACAAACTATTTTTTCCTCCTTCTGCAAACCTCCTATCCCCCAATCCCCATGTTATGGAGATATGAGCAAAAAGCATGTTTGAAGTCCAGCCTCGGTGACAACCATGACCCCTTCCATAAACACATACAATGGAGAACTGAGCATAGCAATCAAAGACCAGAGGTGTGTTATTCTCAAGATATTCAGGTGAAAATACAGGGGGGGAAAAAACTAATGTAGTCACGTCATCTAAGGACTGGTTACATAGTTACATAGTTACATAGTATTTGAGGTTGAATAAAGACATTAGTCCACTATTATTAACTGGTAAGGTACAATATGTTAAATTTTTTATTTCCAGTTTACATTTGCTTTAAAGAAGAACTCTGTGCAGTAGAAATGTTAACCCTTGCAATGGGCTACCCCCGCACTGTAAGGTTTAAGTGCTCATTTTTGTCTAGGGTCTAAAATAACAAAGATATACTCACCCAAAGCTCGGACCCGCCTAGTTCCTTGATCGGTCCCTACAGCCTTGCTCTGCCTCCGCTCCAGCGGTCTAACATACAGTGTATTGAACGTGAGGACGCCGAGGGACATCGCAGGTGCGGAGGGGGAGAAAGGCTGCAGGTACCAGTCACGCAACTATGCAGGTCCGATGTTTGGCTGAGTATATCTTTGTTATTTTAGACCCTAGCCGAAAACAAGCACTTAACCCTTGCAGTGTGAGGGGTAGCCCACTGCAAGGGTTCAGACTTCTTCTGGCTGGAGTTTTTCTTTAAAGGAAAAAAGGTCTCTCTGCAAAGAAAACAGTTGATTACTCACCTGTCCTCCTGCCAGAGGATGGAACCATGGAATGCAGAGGGAGGCCAGGCACCCCTGTACACCTGGACAGATACAGAAGATTCTTCAGCCACCATAGCTCTCTGAGGGAGTGAAGATCAGCAGCACAGGCAGCGGGACAAATGAGCACTAACCGTTTTCTTTTTAATCTAGCCGAGACACTTTAATCCCTTCATTACTAAGGCCTTTTTTTCATTTTTTGCACCCATGTTATATACCACATTTTAGGCCTGAAAATTACTTAAAACCCCCAAACATTATATATTTTCTGAAAGCCAAGACCCTATAAAATAATATAATGGCAGTTGCAAATTTTTATGTTGCACGATATTAGCGCAACTCCTTATCAAACCGCAAAATTTTGTGAAAAAATGTACTTAAATGCCCTAAAACACAATAAAATACCAATTTTTTAAATAAGATATAAAAGATGAGGTTACGAGTAAATAGATACCCAGCATGCCCAGCTTAAAAATTGTGTGCATCCGTGAAATGGCGAAATAATTCAGTACCCCAAAAAGTCCATAGACGATGCTTTAAAAGCCCCTACTGGTCATTAGTTTAGAGATATCCAAAAATACTGGCCCTAGAATTATTGCTCTAACTCCGGCGTGCCCGGCGATACACAACATGTGTAGCACGTTTGTCGCGTTCATACGTAGGCGCACCCAACACGTGTTTACGTGAAGGCGCGCATGCTCACGAGGTGCGGGGGACTTTAACCTCTTGCCGTCCGCCCGTAGTAGAAAAACGGACGGACGGCACTGCTGCATTGGCGGGTTGCCGTCGCCAGGCGGCATTTTTTTTCTGCTCGCGCGCGCCCCCTAGCGGGCACGCACGGGCAGAAAAGACCCGTCCAATGCAAACACCCGGTACCGGGTGTTTCACATATAGGCGATCAGCGGGTCCATAGCCAATAGTAAAAAAATAAAAACCCCAGTGGTGAATAAATACCACCAAAAGAAAGCTCTATCTGTCCCCAAAAAAGGGTATAAAATTAATTTCAGTATAGCGCTGCATGACGGAATAAATGTCAAAGTACCGCAGCGCTGAATACTGAAAAATGGCCTGGATGGGAAGGGGGTTTAACACCGCGGATGTCAACTGGTTAAAAACATTTTTTTTTAATTATTTTTAGATTTATTTTATTTCATGTTAATTATAAAAAAACTGTTATTTTTTTAACTTTAATTGCTATCACATAAGGGGGCTAACAAGTGGGGGGTAGGGACCTCTCCACCGTGCTGCAGAAGCAATCTGGCGACAGCCGAGTCGCCAGAATCACTTCTACTGTAAAGGCGACAGTCGGCTTTACAAGTTTAAACAGAGTCTGTTTAAACAGCCCCAATGCCAGCGGCGTAAACTGTACGTCGTTGGTCCTGAAGGGGTTAATTTGTAAACACCGCTACTTTCAGTATTATCTGCATTGCCCAGTCACAGGACAGAGTGGAGAGATCACAGAGCTGCGTTCTTCTACCAAACTAGCGAATTAAAATAACTTGTTTAATAGAATACCCAAAACTGAATTATCAGTCAGCTGAAAAAATCTTTTTTATCACTAAAAGACAGCTATACCTTTAAAATAAATACAAAATATTCATATAAAATATGTTATATTTATTGGCCTAATAATATTTATTTTTTAGTGCTAACCATAATAAACTATTATTTCTTCCTTTTACTCAGGATAATGTAAACATCTGCTGTAATTACTTTTTATCACCGTATAGTTGTTCCTTAAGTTAAAGAAAAATTACCTTATTTTTAAGAGGGGGTCTACTCTTAATATATGATGGAACAAGATATTCAAAAATTCTTCTGGATCTGTTGAGAAAACAAACATGTCATAGAAAAACTGATGGAAGTTCTACAGCTCCACTGTTATACCCAACACGCATTGCAATGTCACAAATCACTGGTGGGTTGAGTTTATTAGCATAGTGAAGAAGTGGGCCACACAACTATGTATCTGATATAGTCTTGAAAGCAGCTGTGTTTCACCAATCCATACTTCCATTGAGTGCAATCTAACCAACCTCATCATGCATCCTACATTAGCTACACTTAATAAGATTAATCTTTATATTCTAAAATTCATATGGATTCTGCTTTATGCCAACAGTTACTAGATATCATTCATTACCATACAAGTCTACAACCATTTACTGTGGCTGTCTGTCTTAGGTTAGGAAGAAGCTGGGGGAGAGGTTTCTCGTATATATCAGTTTAGGAAAAAACTAGCGAATTAAAATAACTTGTTTAATAGAATACCCAAAACTGAATTATCAGTCAGCTGAAAAAATCTTTTTTATCACTAAAAGACAGCTATACCTTTAAAATAAATACAAAATATTCATATAAAATATGTTATATTTATTGGCCTAATAATATTTATTTTTTAGTGCTAACCATAATAAACTATTATTTCTTCCTTTTACTCAGGATAATGTAAACATCTGCTGTAATTACTTTTTATCACCGTATAGTTGTTCCTTAAGTTAAAGAAAAATTACCTTATTTTTAAGAGGGGGTCTACTCTTAATATATGATGGAACAAGATATTCAAAAATTCTTCTGGATCTGTTGAGAAAACAAACATGTCATAGAAAAACTGATGGAAGTTCTACAGCTCCACTGTTATACCCAACACGCATTGCAATGTCACAAATCACTGGTGGGTTGAGTTTATTAGCATAGTGAAGAAGTGGGCCACACAACTATGTATCTGATATAGTCTTGAAAGCAGCTGTGTTTCACCAATCCATACTTCCATTGAGTGCAATCTAACCAACCTCATCATGCATCCTACATTAGCTACACTTAATAAGATTAATCTTTATATTCTAAAATTCATATGGATTCTGCTTTATGCCAACAGTTACTAGATATCATTCATTACCATACAAGTCTACAACCATTTACTGTGGCTGTCTGTCTTAGGTTAGGAAGAAGCTGGGGGAGAGGTTTCTCGTATATATCAGTTTAGGAAGGCTAGGAAGAATGAATTAGTGTACTTTTTACAGACACTTACACTTATACTATAAAGTGAATCTGTGGTCAGGCTATATAAATTGAAGTATTTACACATTGTTAACAAGCAGCCAATGAGCTTTCTCATTGACCTACGTAGCTGCATGTGTTGTGGGGTAACTCATCCTCAAAGTTCGCAGCTGAAATTATTCAATATTTTCTCCCAGCAAGAGAGAAGTTCCACCAATTCCCATACTCCGAGCATGTGATCTGTGTTTAAATTAGAAAGTAGAAAGATGGAAGGCTGGTGCATCACTGCTAAGGTGATGGGCTGAGCTGAAGTTGCAAAAATCATTCTCTCAGCAGCTCAGCTGCCCCCTGCTCCCCCTCTTAGAAGCCTTCCAATGTTCACATTTGTAATGTATTTACAGAACACATGCTCTGGGAGGTGAAGCTTAGCTGTTTAGAGAATGAACCTGTACTACACGCTTCTAGAGTGAAATTTGAGGATGGATTTCTCCACATTGCCTATAGTTACAGAGATCAGTTCTAAAGCTGAACTTCAGCTTTACCTTCAGGTCTTGCATGGTTGTAAAGGATCTTCTTCTGTACTGAAATTGCGTACTGTGATTTCACTGAACACTGTAAGCTTCTCACAATGTGCATTAGAAGCTGCATCAAGTCCGATAGAGCCCAACTTATTTCCAAGCTAAAGGATGTTCAGTATCGTCTAGCTCTCCTTCGCAGCCTTTCAGTCCCTGGTCAACCCCTAAACTCACTGGATTTCAGTTAATTCAATTATGGAGTCTCTGCAGCACATGTGGGCATTACCTACGACATGCAAATGCAGTCTGATTAGGAACTACTCCTCCCCCAGACTGACATCTACCCATCAAGACATTGGCATTTGCATAACTCCTCCCGAGAGCCAACCCACTGCTTGCATCAGAGCTAAGGGCTCTTGAGAAGGATAGTGAGACAGAATGTTGTAATGTCTTCAGGAAGTTATGTACAACACATTGTTGTCCCCCCCCCCCCCCACCAGCCATGGCATGCATGGCACTCTGTCCAACATAAAACATGAAAAAAAAAAGAAAGGTTTTATTTCAAATTTCACACGCGTTTGATTGGGGAGGACCAGAGAAAGCAATATATATAAGCAGGTTAAACTTTAGATTTAAATCTCATTTACAGCTTGTTAAGAATATGTAAATACTTAAATGTCCATAGCCAGGCCACAGCTAGTGCAGTTGTTCTATTCTGTTCCCAGTGAAGATAATCTGATTTAAGTAGGACTCACACGTACCTTGAAAACTTGTCTGTGGCTTATTTTATCTGCTAGGTAATATGTTTGCATTATGTGTTTCCAGTGCATTACCTACTCCAAATGTACCTGCTAGTTATACATTAAAAAACTGATTGCCATTTTATTTCAACAAACTTTCCAGAGATTTTTAAACAGAAAACGTAGCAGGAGAACTCAAGAGAAATTGCTAACGTTTTCCAACAAGGCAGCAACATAGAGTCACTTTATGTCTCCTGAAAAACAGAATGTTCTCTATTTGCCAAGAGGCCTGAGTTGCACTGCTGAGATGAAATAACCATGGCAGTCTTTTAAAATATTAGTAGAAACAAACCTTTTTCTTCTGATGTAAATCCTGATGCAGCTTCCACTTTCTCTAAAATTTTCCTTAGCTTCATTATTTTCGTTGCACAAACATATCCATATCTGAATTTAAAACACAAGATTGAAGAAAAGTTGAAAAAATGTTGCACACCAAAAAAATAAGCTTGAGCTAACTATTAGCATTATGATAATATGACATGTTGGTGGGGCTTAGCCATGAAGCCGGGGAAATTTAGGCCCCAGTAACAAAGTGAAACCTTATCAAAGAGGGCAACAGAACAGACCTATTGGGGGAAAATTATCAAAGCAATTGAGACAGTTTTAGCCTCTTAGATCATTTTTTTTATGTACAAATCTGTCTTTTAACATGTGCGCCTGTTTTTACCAGAGCTTGCACGATTTTTCCAATTTCCCGTGTTCTGCGAAAAGTTTGCAACTGTTTACATCTGCCCTTGTCCTGCGGATGTCTGAAACTGGAGCATCACCTAACAAAACAATTGCAAATAAAGAAGTCCCCATGACCACTTCTTCAAGAAGCAACAGTTGAGCTTTTTGCCTGAAGTTACAAGTTTCCTTTCCTGGGGTCTATTTAACCTCATTAATGAACAACATTACACTAGCAACATAAATCTGGCGCAAAGTACGTCACATGTATTCCGTGCAAGTTCAAGCATTCGCAATTGCTATGATAAATTCCCCCCACTGTATATCTGGCTAATAAAAGTGATAGCAGTCATGCTATGGAATCTACTCTCAGGCAGTAAGTTTAAAATGGAGCACAGCTTCACTTTAAGCCTACGGTGGTAATAAGACTGAGACACCAGTTTGCATTACTTAATATTCAACCACAGTAGATCTATCGTTTTATAAATGACACCACAGATCTTTCTGTAACTGGCAAGGTAAAACAGTAGATGCACAGATGATACCAGATCATGGCTTCTCCTAAACATTGCTAAACCATTAAACAATTTTCAGCAAATGCACTGGATATATGGGATAAGGATCACACTACACATTTATCAGCAATGCTATGTATAATGTTATTAAATGTAAGGCTCCGATTTAACCTACATCCTTAGAGGATTCACAATCTCCGTCCTTAGAAGTGCTTGTGTTTCACTGTAGTATTCCACATCCGTTTTCTCTTTCGGTCTCAGAAGGACAGAGTCTAGCACTGAACTGAAGGAAAATAAGCTGTATGGAAAGATGAGGGCAGTTTTAGAATGTTATCAGATGTGTACGCATATCAAGCATTTAATGGATATATGGACTTTATCTACTCACCAAAACAAGGTTGAGTCAAGGTAGCAAGAGTTGTAATGGCCCTGGATACCTTTCTTCTTTCCAATCATTACCTCTAAGCCTTCCTTCTCTGTCCGTGGAGGGGTGTTCCCTTCAACTACTTCACTTAAGTATCCACCAAAAGCTTACAACAAAACAAAATTATAATTATTACTTTGAACAATATGTTGATAAATCAGTCATTACAGATAACAACACTGTCACCGCTGGAGACATTTTCCAAGCTGATCTGTCAAGTTAGCTAATTATAACCAGTTAGAAACTAGAAAGTATAGGTTAAAATGCCCAGGGCTTTTAAACATAATGTCCCATGTATTTACCCTCTCAACTACAACATGCTGAATGACAAAAAAACTTCCACAGAGGACCTATTCAGAAGTGGAAGCTACAATAAAGTCAAAGAAAACTGCTTGAGCCACAGGGAGCCAGGAAAGCTCCCAATAAATCAATGAAGATGTGGCATCAATCTACAGGGACAAAGATTTTAACAAATCTGCACATATACCCGACAAAGGTATGAGGACACCTTCTAGGTAAGGTTTCAGGACGCCTCCTAGGTTTTCTAAATTATACTGAGAATATTTTATATGGCAATTGTAGAACGAAATCGTTATAGTGGAGTTCTTTCAGTTGGTTCTCCTCAAAGGCGTTACCTAAAGAGTTACAGCGCTCAATCTGATTGGAGACGGGCTGAAGTGATGCGAACCTCGAGTCTGGCCTGCAGCTCTTCAGTTTCACAAAAAGTGCTTTTTTAGGGGCACAAGTAAAATATCTTGTCCCCTTGAAAGTGCCGTCAGTGCATCCCGCGCATTCGTCCTCCTAAGAGATGGCCAAAAGAAAACAGTTAAAACAGTCACCTTGTTCCTTGAGCTGATTTAATAATACAGCAGAAGAGTAATGAGCACAAGGCGTTATCTCCAGTAGTAATCAATCAAGTTTCATTTTAAAGAAAAATGTAAGAAAAATGATTTTGTTCACGGGTGACAACTACGCATCTGTTCTTATTTCCTTCTCTCCAGTTTTAATAAATCAATTGCACAGCATCTAGCACATCAAATGTACATTTAAAAACTCAAATACATTCGTAACAGTCTGTATACAATTGTACAGCTTCATTTTTTTTTGACCAATTAGTGACTTTTCTCCGCTTCCGCCATAGTCATCCCTTGAAACACCGACATCTATTTCATGCTACAATTGATGGAAGACTCGCCTACTAAAAGTTTTGTGATTTGTCATGTAAACTCTGTCAGCTGCCAATCATCAGAGAGAGCAAATGATACAAAAGTAAGGAGAGAGGTATTGTCAGTTCACAGGACACAAGGGTCACTTGAGCTGAAGGCAATAAATAGTGCAGTTGAACAGCAGAGTAACCTTTTAAGAGATCTAGGTTGACATTAAAAGGAGACAGACAGAAATATGGAAGCTGTCATTGCTGACCTCCATTTGAAAATGCTAGTTACTTGGCTGTCTCTGGAGTCAGTTACTCGAAGTACAGAGACCAAACAAGCCTGCAGCTAATGAAGTCAGTTTAAAGAGTCAGAACTCCTGATCTGCATACTTGGCTCAGAACAAATGTTAAAGCCTTTAGGTCAACATATCAGCCAGGCAACTAGAATTTTTAAAAGGGAAGCTCAGAAATGGTAACCTATGCCACTGCAGGGTTGAATCTGCTCTATAATGAGCCTGTAAACAAAGTTAATTACTTGTATCTCTAAGAAAAAACATTTCTTTTTAGTTTGGGATGGAGTGGGGAAGGGTTAGTCCGTGAAGGTTTTATTGATATCCGTGACCCCATTGAGGAGACTCACCCCCTCCATTTGTACTTGTGACCATTGTCAATGAGAAAAAGAAGTGAGGAAATCCAAAATGTTATAGTTGTCCCCAGAACAAGAGGTAAGGGGAATCCTGCTAATGAAGCACTGGTTACAGGGGCAATGGTCTAAGAGAGGAAATCCCCTCACTTTGGACCATTTCCTCTACATTTCTGTTGCGTCTCTAGGACAGGAAGTGAAGTGCAATTCCCCAATGATACACAGACAACAAAAAAACTTGACAAGGATTTTCACCCTAACTTACTCTATCCAAACTAAAAAAAAATAATTTTGGCTATAGACATACTTTAAGACTGGTCATAAATAGGCAGATAGGTCACTGAGAAGCACAATTGATAATACAACTACCCAACCACAATCACAGCTCTGCCAGTCTTTTTTCCTACGGATGGAAGTAGCACATGCGTAGTGGCATACATGTTACTTTTGTCCCTTGGAAAAGGAAATGCTTAGAACCAAGAACGATGAGAACATCTATTCACAGATCTGCTTCTAACTGCTCCCTAACCCTTTTGATCTCAAAGAACCATTGCAAGCGATTATACAGCTATTCTTTTTTTCATAAATTCTTTATTTTATCATATACAGCTATTCTTGTCTGTGGCAGAAGCAATCTGACCATAACCCCTGTGACTGCGGTAGGAAAGCGAAGGCCTCCACGCAATATTTCTGTGTATGAAATGACTCAAACTTGTCAAAGGTTTTCTGTGGTGTATAAATGTGTAAGAATGAGCATGGAAAGTCTAAATGCACCACAGAAAGTACAAACTGGGCCCAAGTGACTAACAAAACCTCTGAGAGTATAAAATGGGGCCTGGGCATAACTATTTTAATTAATGTAAGAAACTGAAGGTTTCTGTTCATAATTTCTCCTTGAAATAATCTTCATTTGTCAAGGGTCATCTGTGGTCTACTCATGTGCAGACCCAATGCCTGAGGAAATAAATATAAAGATCCCATCACTCACATCCAGGCCTACTAAACTGGATGCATGCTTGTAATTGCATTACATACTAACCTTGATATTAGGTTACATACAGTACTGTGCAAAGGTTTTAGACAGTTAAGTGAGGATGCATTTTAGAAAATAATGCAATAGATATTTTAATTGATTAATTTACAACCTACAGTATAAAGTGCACAAACAGATCAAATTTGTATTTGTGGAGTCCATCCTTTGTGCTTTAAACAGTTCCAATTGTTGTAGCTATGGAACAAGTGGCTACGGAATTGGTGTAGGAAAGAGGGGGTTCATGGAGAATTGGGCTGACTTTTCAGGTGGCTACCGGCTCTATGGAAGAGACATGCTGCATCTAAATGGGGAGGAAGCAGCTCTATTGGGGGGAGAAATGGTTAGAAGACAGAAGGAGCTTTTAAATTAGAATATGTTTTTTAGGGAACTCAGCAAGACGCAGTATGTTGTTCCAAACATCTAGGACAACCATTTACAGTTCTGTGAATTTAGGCCGTCACAGTTGCTACAGTCTCTTCCAGATAGACTCAATGATGTGGAGGATAGGGCTCTGTGGGGATCATAACATCTCTTCCAAGACTGCTTGTTTTCAAGGAAGATAATTCTATATGACTTTGGCTATATGTTTGCTGTCATTTTCCTTTTGCATGAATTTTTAGACTGATCAGACACCTCCCTGATGGCATTGATAAGAATCTTCCTGTACTTTTCAGCATGGAAGAGACCACTAATTTTGACCAAATGCCCAAGTCCAGGTACAGAAATGCAGCCCCAAGCCTGTCAGGAACCTCCACCATGCTTTAGTGTTATCTATAGACTTTCATCCTTATACTCCTTCCCAGGCCTTTGGTGAACAAACTGCATTGTTATAGCGGTCTAGAGAAACTGCTGCCATTTTTCTGCACACCAGTACTTGCGTTTTTGCGCACAGGTGAGTCACTTGGCCTAGTTTCCACATCAGAGGTATGGCTTTTTAACCACATGTCTACCATGAAGTCGATTTCTGACAAGACTTCTTTGGACTGTAGATGGGTGTATCAGGGTCCCACTGGTTTCTGCCAAGTCTGAGCTGAGGATGCCACTAAACATCTACCGATTGCAAAGTCAACATAATGTTTCTTTGATCTGCAAGTTTCCATGGCCAACCACTGTTATTTTTTTCATTCCTCAAGGTTGCCAGTTTCTTTGACCTTCTGCAACAGAGCTAGGTCAGCACATCTGGAAACACCCATCTTCCCTAAACTTCCTGCTTGTGAGAGGCCTTGTGGATGCAATAAGGCCACCCTGTGTCTTGTTGTTGTGCTCAGTCTTGAATTGTTTAAGATTTTTTACCCTAAACCATCTTCAGTGACCTCAACGTGCTAGCAGAACATGGCTTCTCCTTAAGCTGGCAATACACCTATAGATTATCTGCAGATTTGTCAGATGGAAAAAGTGCAACAGATTCCTCCATCTAAGCTGTATGGATGGAGCAATCTCTCACTGGGCCAAGTTCCAGTATCTTGCTAGTCGGCCCCGCTGGCTCTCAAAATACCTGAACAATCTGATTGAATGCAGGCATTGTTCAGGTATTTTGAGAACCAGTGGGGCCGACTAGCAAGATAATGAAGCTTGGCCCAGTGGGTGATTCACAGTTTTGCATAGATGGAGGAATCTGTTGCACTTTTTCCATGTGACCCTAGAAAATCTGCAGATAATCTATAGGTGTATGGCCAGCTTTTTACATTTCTCCTACACAGCTGACTATGTTTGATTTTGATTGTATTTTAACCTATCTGTTGATCATTAGTAGCAGTTTGGTATAATTGTTTAATCATGCAATGGGTCATATGCCTGCAAAATCCTTAAGTGTGTGCAAGTGTAGCTGGGAGAAATAAATAATGTTGTGTTAACAGGAAAAGGGTGAACATACTAAATTTTGAATTTAGCTCATCTGTTTATGCATTTTGTAGGCTATTGAGAAATAAAAACTATAAAATTTTATTATTTTTGAAGCAACCTCAAATTACAGAATTTTTGCCATATGTGCCTGAAATGTTTGCACTGTACTGTATATATTTAAGAACCTGTAAACTTTAAACACACAAGACCCAGAAGTTCAAATATCAAACGGCAGTGGTGGGCTATAAAAAGGACCAATATAAGCAGCCCAGGGCTTATAATTCTGAGGGGGCCCATTCATATAAAAAGTGACAACAACATTGAACAGATTATGGCCGACCTGTGCGTGAATGCCAAACTGAAGCTACATTAAAACAAAATCACAGGCACATGGCAAATGCATAGCTGAAATGCACATATGCTACTGTATAGACAATCTTGACATTTACAAACATCTTCCACACTGCACAGCCAGATAGATGAGACAGGTAGTTTCTAATAAGGCAATTCATCTTTTTTACTGGCCAATTTAGCTTCCTATGTCACCTCTCTACCTTCAGCCTCCACATTAAGCATTGAAACAGAATCAATACCTCTGTTGAGTATGAGTTAACCTGGAAAGCAGTAAGCCAACTGAGTACTAAATCATAAAGTTGAAGGATGACCTAACTGACCAGAAAAGGTGTGTGTATAACAGAATAGCTGGCCAGAGTTACAACCCCATTGGTAGGTAAAACAGTAAACATCTTTTAATCAACAATGTATTTATCTGTTTGCTTACGCACTCAGGTTCTCTGTCTTTCCGAGATGGATAAATACAGACTACTAAAAAAGGTTCAAATACTTACGTTTCCTGGACAGAATGCTGGCCCGGTTGCACTTAGTGCTGGTCATGTGACCAACAGTCTAGACATTTGGTCAAATGAACCATAAAAACTGAAACAGATAGGCACTAATTCATATCTCTAATGGTATCTAAATACAACTATTAATAAATACTGCTACAATCTATAAACCTATTGACATTATAAAAGACTGCACTTCCACTAAAGAGATTCCGGTCTTGTAATCTGCACAACCGCTTGCAGATTAAAAAACAGGAATATCATCCAGATACTATACAAAATTAGCAGACAGACGATGCAAGCACAACGTCCACTAATAATATACCACTCAAAAAATGACAAGGACAACTTTAAGGAGCCAGTGAAAAAGAGACTGATCTATATCATTACTGTTCCATTATATAAAATGGCCAATTGATTGTAAATGTATTTCCATTATATCAACAGTCTATCTCAGTGTCAAAGCTAAGATATACAGCACTTCCCCAGAACAGGGCTGTGTAAAGTTGAAACAATGGTCTTCTACCTTTTAAGTCATACTGGTCTCTCAAGTATTGTATTTTTAATCCTTTTAAATAAAATTAATTGTCTAGTTTTATGCTGCTGCATTTTGTCTCCTTTGTTTCTCAGCACTAACTGAATCTTGGTCTCAGCATGTAGAAACCAAGGTTCTTCCAGGGATGAACAAATCAGTACTGATATCTGCATCCATTAGAGAAATGTAATGTCCCCCTGATGTAAAAGGTCATGCCCAGGAATGTTAAGTGAAGAGATACTTAAAAGGAGAACTATGGGGCCAGGGCTTTTCGCCATAGTTCTCCTAAGGGTAACGGGAGGACACAAACTAGCGTCATCCCATCACCCAAAGCTCAGTATACCGCGAGCAACAGCTCGTGGTATACTGATACGCAGCAGCCGGGACGGATCCCAACATTACTGTCAAGATCCCGCCAGCTGCAGGATTGACAGCTGGCTCTGCCTATCTAGAGACAGAGCCAGCTGTACCCAACCCCTCCCCCGTCTGTTCCTCCAGTCAGCGCTGGAGAATCGGACAGGGGAGGGGGGAATCCCTGCAGGGAGCCGTGAGTGACGGTCACGGCCCGCTGCAGGGATAGATCGAAAAGTGAGCGAGCGGCGGTATGTGTTCGCTTACTTCCCGATCTATTGAGCCGACTTAGGTTGGCTAGAACTATGAGGCTGAGTGATTTTCACTCGCCTCATAGTTCTCCTTTAGGACAACCTGCACACCTTCTCAAACATCCCCATGTATTAAAAAATCACCTGTGTGCCAATCATGCAAATAGGAGCAATCACTGGTTTTCTTATGTGCTAGTAAGTAAATTGTTGCCAATTACCAGCTCCAGTCCTGCCAACATTTCATTTACTCCTACAGGCTGACCAATCCAACGGATCACACCATAGAAAGGTGGGTTTTCTTTAACCTCAGCAAGTGATCCCACCTCAAGGCCATGCAAATTAGAGATGTGGGGCAGGTCTGGTAGGCTGTCTTGCAGGGAAGAATGGTTCATTTCTCCAATTACTGACTGCACAGACAATGAGAGAGGAGTATGTCCCATTGTGCCATTGGTACTGGACATCTTGGAAAGGCTGAAGGGGAGAGAATGGAATCTATTCTCCCCAGGTGAACAGCTGCTTGATGAAGGCTGCAAAGGGGGAGAACAATGTCCATATGATGACGGGGAAGTCTCTGTCAGAGATTTTGCAGAATCTTCAACAACTAGAAAAAACACACATATACTAGTGATTAGCAGTATAATATTCTACATATGAATTTACCAAACATATGTAAATGCTTAGTAGTAAATTAATGTCCTTTCCTCAGTTACATGTAATACAGAATTTGTTTTGCTGTCTAGTCACCCTATTTGTGCTGGTGACCAATGTTACCAGAACAAAAAATTATGATAAATCAAAATCTTACAGTTGTTACCAGAAAATAATTTGAAGGTTAATATTCCAGTGGGGACATCTGTTTTAAAGACAGAGGTCTAAGCCATCGTTCACCCCTTGAACGTTTTGTAGCGCGTTCTACGCTCGACGAACGCTCTACAAAACGCTCAAAAATATAAATCCCATTGTATTCAATGGTCTCGTTCCCACCTTAGCGTATTTCCGCCCGTCCCTAAAGCGCTACAAAACGGCCCACGCCTGAAAAGGTACAGGTACTACTTTGGGCCGGTTTGTTGCGCGTTTCCATTGGGATACAGCCAAGTAGCCTTTGGAAACGCGCAACTTTTTTACCGCGAATCGCGGTAGACAGACGCGCATATGCAATACGCCTAGGTGTGAACGAGACCTAAGAGAGACCTTTTAAGAGATTTCCTCTCCTTTTCTGTCGCATCCCTGGGAGAGGAAGTTGGGAAATGTTTTCCTAGTGAGACACAGAAAAGGAACAAATAAACTAAAAAGGGATTTTAACTAGGGATGCACCGAAATTTCGGCATGCCGAAACATTTTAGCTGCCGAAACATTTCAGCCAAAAATGGTACTTTGGGCAAAATGCACGATTTCTCTGCTCCCTGTTGGGCGCTGCTCTGTGTGCCCCTCTGACACAGAACAGCACCCAGCAGGGAGGAGAGAAACTTTCAGGACGCCGAGCAAGGCACTATCATCATTATCACAGGTGGCCATGCTCTCCTCGGCCTCCTGTGACAAGCAAGTGCGGTGAGGAGACAACACAGGAGGCCGAGCCAGCGGTTGTAAATAATTGAGGACAAAGTAAGCTTACTGCATCCCCAATTATGAATGAATAGTTAGTGCTCTTCATCACTTCCTGTTCATTCATTATTGTGGACATAGTAACTGAAACTATCTGCTCAATTTATAAATGGAATGGAACACTCACTTCCTGATCATTCATAACAAGGGCTGCAGAAAAAGAGATTTAGAACTCTGTGTCCTCAATTTCTTTTTCTATTTCAAAAGTGAAATATCAGGGGTCTATTTAGACCCCTGATATTTCACCAAAGCCCCCAACAGTAAAGTAAAAAAAAAAATATAAAAAAAACATTTAAAAAAGGTTAGGAAAAAAATAAGTTTCAGTTTCGGCCCAACAAATTTTAGTCTGAAAACAAAAAATAAGTTTCAGTCTGAAAATTCCATTTCGGTGCACCTCTAGTTTTGAACCTTTCTTACTCTATCCAAAACCAAAAAAAAAGGTTTTGCGCTAGTAACATGCACTTTAACTTTTATCAGGCTCTTCAGCTTGGCCCTGAGCAGGGTGATATCTGCTCTTCAGTATCGACTTGCAGCAGTATAGTTTGTCACTTTCTTAAAGAAAGCATTGCCCCCCCTCAAGATAAGCAAACACAAAGTTATACAGGAAAATGTAAGGTCTGCCTATATTAAGACCAGCATTAAATGTATTCACGTGTCACAAGGAAAGCACCTAAATGCAATGCAGGAACCACAGAGGAACAGGAAATCTGGCATGTAGGATGACTGCTAATAACATAATTAAGACAAGAGTTTTTTAGAAAAAGAAAAGAACTAATTCGTTCATGTGTAAGCACAAGCTGTTTTCTCCTATATGAAGATCACATGGGTTACTTTTCCACTGCAAAATAACATTTAAAAAGTATCTACCGTTATGTTGGCCATTGAAAGAGTCTCTGTGGTCAAAATAACAAAGATTAACCATGCATTATAAAATAAAAGTCCTCATGTTTAAGAGACACCACTGTACCTTCACAGCGACTGCTTTCTTGCATACCAGAATTTCCTCCTCGTAATGATCTCTCTCGAGCTGTGAAAACACCATTCATACACGTAGTTAGAGGTTTTCAAATGTAGATGTTAGCCAGTACACAGTATATACTACACAGTTATTTTTATTATAAGAATATACAACCTGGTAAGAAGGATGATTCTTTAGATTTGTAGAGTAACTTGCTGCTGTATGAAACACTGCCACTGTTATTTTAACTCTAACACCTGTATGTACCTGTAATGTATTATTAACCAAAGGTCTGTCTATGTATATCTGGCAAAGATTTTAAAACACATATACAGTATCTGTCACTGTCAATAAGTGCCAAAGACTTGATTTCTCCATTACTGCCAGCTAGTGATCATAGACAGTTCCCTTCAGGGATTCAGCTCTTTCTTCTTTTAGTCCTTTTCAGCATATGTGACCTTGCATCCTCCATGACTGTTGAGGGTGGACAAGTTTGCTTGGATGCTATAGGAAACAGTCATATAATTGCTGCAAACACACAACCTTCCCTTATGTTCACAGTGAGATTAGCAGCTTTAACACATGCACAGATGAGCAACTGCAGGCAAGGGGAATTGTTCAGCCTTCAGTTTTCTATAAAGTTAAAAGTTGCAGACTTTGCTATGGACCCTTCTATAGGGTAAGTTGAACTTCACTATATGCAGCTTTTCTGGGTTCATACAGTACACTTTCAATTGTGTTTCCAAAAATGGATCCAGATCAAACAAATATACATTACCCAAAGTACTGTATTTCTTTATATTTTTACCCAAGCACTTACAGTCATCATGTTTCCAAACAGTTCTAACTCTCTCAGCTCTGCTTCCCTGAACTTCCTTTTCAGTACAAGATCACAAGGGGCAGCACAGTCTCCAGCAGCCATCTATCTACTAGCTTGGAGAACGGAGGGGAGAGGAAGGATGAGCAGGGAGGAGAGGAGTGGCTTGCCTTGATGTGGCGGTGTGTTTGTGGAGACACAGACCGCTTACGCACACAAGGGTGACTCCATAGGACCCTGCAAGGGAAAGGAGCCACCCTAAAACAGGATATCAGGGCCAGTGCTCAGGGGATCAGATGATTCTGATTTTTAAACATAAAAAGGAGCAGCATCCATTGTAAGTGATTACATCAGCATTTGAAGTAGCTTAAAAACCTTGTGACTTTAACATCACTAACGGTTTGCTGGCATTCAGCTTTAATATATACAGTAGATGTACTGAGACTCAAGATTCCCCAAAGTCACTGCACATCCAAAGAGCTGTGAGAAGGGGAGCTAAAGAGCTGTGAGAATAATGTATGCCACAATAGCGTGCAATTAGTATAATGGTATCATTTACATAAATCCTTTACAATCACTATTTTACCAATGAATGTGTAGTCACATCTTTTAAAAATGCATCAATGATCAATGTGTTTAGGTAAAAAAAAATTAAAAAAATGTAGAAATCTCAACTATAATAAAAAGTATGTGTTATGGAAAATTGCATTTTTTTTAAGAGAACTCCTCAGCCACCCTGGACCTTTGAGGCCCCCTGAACACATCGTAAATGAAGAAGTATCGTAAGCGCTGTACCTTCTTCCATATACCAGTTGGATTTGCTCTTCGGTTGATGTGGCGTTTCAATCGAGCTACCATTTAAAGTGTAAAAAAATTCTGAACGGTTCCTGCTTCCCGATTCGGAGGTAGATCCTGCTACAGAAAAATGAAAAGGCATGTGTCACGGAATCAGCTTTGAAAGTTTATAATATTAATATGAGCCACTTCCTGAAATGCAGCATTTGTCTATTCCACGGCCTCATATCTAAAGGAAACCTGTACCAATTAGGAGTTGTGATTTCACTATTACTTTCACTTTAGTGGTTACATGTTGTCTGGGTAACCGATTTAAACTAGCATAGGACGGCTCAAATTTTGGCTGAATCCTATTTCTTCGGCCTAAATTTGAGCTGTGGCTGACCCGGCCAGAACCAGATCGACTGAGCTGGGTGGAAAATCATACTGCATCTTGTAGTCACTGATCGAGTGTTAAAATAGCCAGCAGTGAAGATTCCTCCATCCACACTGTTTAGTGTTTTTGGGGAAAATCAACTGATTTCTCTCGCTAACCCCATGGCCTGAATGAGAGAAAATTGAGCCATCTATGCCCAGCTTTAGAAAGCAATGAAGCCTAGGAGAGCCAGGCAGCTAGCTAATGCTGTGAGCTCCCTCAGGGACAAACACTGATGCACATGGATCTGTGTACTTTGTAAAGTGCTGTGTACACTGTTACTATTATATAAATACCGAAAATCATTGATCTCTAGCAAGATACGGTAACTGGGAAGCATTATCAAACACTATGAACATAGCTTGATTCTGAAGTGTAAAAGATATGAGTCACATTAGGTCAACAGAGATTAACCTCTTTTGTGTTAAAGACATGCAATACATAAGCCTTGATCAACCAGAAATAGGTACACTAAACAAAGATTAACCCTAGTCCTCATATAAACATCTTGAAAAGCAGCAATAAGGTTTTCTCTTCTAGGACAACCTCCCAAGCAGACTGGCCCTTCAGTAGAATTACGACCACACGCCTGTCATTCTATTCTGTAATTTTCTGATTACTGCCGTGTACCACTGTTCGGATTCATACTCTTGGTCTTGGTGGCTATTATCATTGTGGAAAATCCAAAGGTTTGCAGTTGTCACTCAAACAAGAGGTGAGGGAAAATCTTCCAGTTGGGATCCCTGTTCCAATGTCAATGAATTCTGGGTTTTCCTTCACTTTGGAGAAACTTCCTCTCACTTCCTGATGTGTTTCCACGGCAAATGTTGGAAAATCTCTTTAAAGAGCAAAACAGAGAGCAAAAAAATACTGACAGTGGTTTTAACCCTACCCTATTCTATCCAAAAGGAAAAAGAAAAAAAGAAAAAGATTAAAAAAAACTGGAACAATAGCAACAAATGTCTTGGTGGTTTTAGGAGCTCCAAAGTATCCTAGACTAGGGACAGTGCTGGCAGAAAGAGACAGGTTCATTTTCTTGCTTCAAGGTGGTTTGCACAATATCAGTAAGAGCCAAAATGGTCTCCGTTAGCTTGAGAGTGATAACAGAAGACCGAAAGTCCTCAGAGATAGGTTCGTCCACCAAGGACTGCAGAAACTTAGCATCAGACAAAGTCTCATTGGCCGATGGCACAGAGGCCACTAAAGCTGTGGGTTGATTGGAAATAGAATCTGCAGGGGTGCACTTGTGGCCATTGCATTCAGTCAGTAAACATCTGTGCTATTTGGCCCATAGTTGACTAAAGTAAAAACCTTAGAAAAGGAGATAATGCGGCCACAGGCAACGGAGCTAGGGAAGATGGTATGGACTATGATACCCGGTGTATCAGAAATGTCTCCCTTGTGCCTAGAATCAGACATGTTGCAACCCCGTAATACAACCCTACTCCGGGTACAAGGCAAGGCCTCAGGTATTCACAAACCCACCTGCTGGTAGCAGGTCAGGTGTAGGATTGGATGATCGGAAATATCCAAGCCATTGTAGACAGGCAGCAGGAATGAACCAAGGATGGGAGTTCCACATGGCTCTTGTAAGCAGGAGCAGCAGTGGGAAGCTAATTCCTCAACACTGAATGATGTTGCAACGCTGGCACTACACCCAGGAAATGATGTCTGTGCCCAATGCCCCAAAGTTAACCCTTTCCACGGTAGAACTGACATAAGGCAAGAATTTTGATGGAGCTCAATGGTCCGAAAAACAACGTAGCTTCCAAAGCATAGCCCAATCAGCCTACTAACAAATTGAGTTTTCAGAGATAGGGTAAGTGTTGGGCCAATGCCAGTGGTTCTTGTTATTGAATCGGGGTATGGAGAGTGCCTAAAGCAGAAACCAGTGCTCAAGAGTCACTTCCAGGCTGGCCTCTTAATGGGGTCTGGGTGCAACACTCAATAGCTAAGCTGAGGAAAGGCCAATCTGGGTAGCTGCCATATAGAAACCAGCTCAAGCAGTGATGTAGTGAGGAATCTTGAGACTGCAAAAAAGCTAGCAAAAACGGTTAGAGTTTTGTCAGCAGGGCTGAAGGAAAGATGTCCATCTTCCTAGGACACTAGGAAAAAAAAAAGAGATGCTAACTTCACCACTTTGGGCATCCACCAGGTATTTGACAGGTATGGGCTGCAAAGGCCTCATAACCCCCCACCCAGTCCTCCTCTGGCTTTTATAATATCTATGGTCATGTTAGAAGATAATATAAATTGCAACACAGTTATGTATATGACAAGAAATCAGTTTTGGTTGTCATATAGCTTTCTAAGTAAGTGTGGCTGCCCAATCTGCTACCTTGAATCTCAACTCTACTTTAAAGATATGGCTAAATTTCCACTTTAAAATCTGTGTTTAACATTCCCAAACTAAAGCTCAGTGGTGCTTTTAAAGGTTCAACAAAGTAGCTTGAAGCGTAATTAAAGCATTGCAAAACCTTCCAACAAGCACGAGCTGAAAGTATAAAGGCAAAATGTTTTTTTTTTTATTTGGATAGAGTGATTAAAGGGTGAGAACCACTGTCGGGTTTTTACTGATGACTGTATGTATTTTTTCAGATTGCCCTGAAACCAATGTCACAGGAACTGTGAGAATAAATAAAAAAATTTTTAGATGCCACCAGAACAGAAATAGAGGGGAAATCTTCCAATGGGGACACGTGTTCTGACACGTGATGATTGCATGAGAGAGGATTTCCCTCACTTTGGAAAGATCTTCTTTCAATTCCTGTTGAATCTACAGGACCCAATGTGAAGGGAAATATTCCTAATTGGACACAGATGGCAAAAAATAAACCCTCCCCTACCCTATCCAAAGTACAGAAACAAAATGTGGGTTTAGATATACTTGAAGCCAGTGTGAAAGTAGGACTATCGTCTCTGAATTGTATGATATCTTCCATCGTAAGGTTGTATAAATAAGGACCAATGTAACAAGCTCTCCGAGACTATGTTGAGAGAACTGCAATGATTTAGAAACATCCCAAATCTCAATGAAAGTTTATAGCACCTAAAGCATTTATCTCAACGTTTCCCAATATACATAGCAAAATAAAACCTCAATTCATCTGAATGCAAAATACATCCTCAGAGATGGAAAGCAAATGCATAGAATTATTAGATATACACCATTATCTAGATTAGTAAGCATACACTCCAGATACCTGTAACCTTTGGTTTGCTATGATTGGATAAGCTTTTTTCACTCCCACATCTTGAAGTAAAGGCAAGTTTTAAAGGCCTCCTTTCTTGGGTTACAGATTCTGCAATAAATAGAAAGAGGTTATGGCATGGTTGGGCACAGTCATAGAAGAGGTAGCCAGTGTCTAACCTTTTTCGAGCCTTCTCTAAACACAGAGCCTTGTTACCATTTTTTAGACACCACTACACCCTGCTGTATCACCTTCCCAATTTCAGCCTGCTCATTAGACAATCAATACACATTACTATTGATATGGCTTCCCTGTTATCCTGACCTTCTGTAATTTACTTACCTATCCTTCCATTTCCAGGACCTGATGCCTGAAATCATGTTTGACTGTAATACTGGCCAATATAATAGAGCCATGTATAAAAAAATAAAATAAAGGAATAAAGCCAGTGACCCAAAACAAGTGAACACGCTTTGTAAATATCCGTTAAGCAACACAACAGTATGGCTGCGGTAAGGCCATTCCGCTACTTTATAAAAGGGGTTCTAAGTGAAGCTAAATAAGGGGAACAGCATACAACTCTTTTCTAAGTAGGCTTGCTGAGTTAATACTTCAGAACATTTCATTATTCCAAGTGTTCTTAGAGTATATCTATGGGCAAAACTATTTTTTTTTAAAGCTTTGGATAGAGCTGGGACGAGTTAAAATTCCTGTTATTTTATACTTCAATTCTGCCCTTTGTTAGACAGATATCCTTTCACGTCCTGTTTTTGGGTTATCAATTTACCAAACAGGAAGTGAGGCAAAATTTGCAACATGAAAAAAAAGATAATACAAAGCTGACAGGGGTTCTATCATCCCTATACTTAATGGTTTCCTGTCTGGTGAAAAGGTTGTCCTTGGGACAGGAAGTGAGGGGAAAATCCCTCTAACAAAGCACCAGATAGCAGTTAGGAGTTCTAATCCTTTCTCATGCTATGCAAAACAAAAAAAAGGCAGTAGATAAACTTTAAAAAAAAGCCCCAGCCTGTGCAAAAATAAAGAAATGCCATTACCCAGTCTGAGGAAAAAGCTGCCTTATCACTGTCAAGCCCGCTCGAAGACAGCTCAGTGTTTTTTTCTCTGGTTCTCAATAGTCATTGATCGCAGTAACTATCACGGATGGCACCGTGCAAAACACAAAGTAGAAGAATATAGGTCACCAGCACTCACGTGGCCCCGAAGAATATAGGTCACCAGCACTCACGTGGCCCCGAAGAATATAGGTCACCAGCACTCACGTGGCCCCGAAGAATATAGGTCACCAGCACTCACGTGGCCCCGAAGAATATAGGTCACGTGGCCCGAAACGCCGGCTCTTTGATTGTCGTGACACAATTGTCCAATAAAAAGGACTTATTCATTTTGAATTATTTTTGAGTGCTGGTGACCTATACTCTTCTACTTTGCCCACTCATTGACATGAAACAAAAACACACCAAAAAAGGGGGTTAAAAATGTGTTAAGGAAGAACTCCAGGAAAACTTTGTTAACCCTTGCAGTGGGCCTACCCCTGCACTGCAAGGGTTAAATGCTCATTTTTGTCTAGGTTCAAAAATAACAAAGTTATAGCCACCCGAAGCGCCAAGCCAGCCGTCACAGCGCTCCCTCCATCCTCTCTACTTCTCTGCTGCAGCACTGTAATCTTCCTCAGCGTCCTCACATCTATTCACTATGTACAGACGTTGATGATTTATGGGACATTAGGCCGCTGCAGAGGAGGGGGACAGAGGCTCTAAGTATCAGTCTAAGAAGAAGCCAGCTCAGAGCATCAGGTGAGTAGAACTTTTTTTTACTTGAACCTAGAAAAAAAAAAAAGAGCAGTTAACCCTTGCAGTGCTGGGGGAAACCCCACGGCAAAGGGTTAATTAAATGTTTGCCTGAAGTTCTTCTTTAAGCTTGCAGCTCAAACTGCTGCATAAGCTTAATTGCCGCGTTTATCGCACGCATTGAAATGAATGTGTGGTAAACAAACACTGCAGAATGCATATAAACGCAAACACAATGCACATTCACGCATGACGCAAGTGCGACTGGAGTCTTAAAACCTGACAGAAGTTCCACTTTACTCACTCCAAAATGTATAAGAACTAAGAAGTTGGTGTTCTACTTTAAATTTCCAGTTAGTAAGGAAAACATTGTGGCACCGAAGAAACGTATGCTATGTATAGTCAGGAAAACCCCTGAAGACTACAGTAATAACCACAAAATAATACATCTGCAGCTGAACTGAAACTTTTAGAATGGTCAGTCTTCTGACAATTGCTTTTTAGCAGATTTTATTCCTGTCCTGTGAAATAAATTATGACCATTTGGATCTTCGGACATAAGTTTGGACACCAAAAAGTTTTGGCTTCAGTTTTGCTTTAAAGGAGAACTATGAGGTGAGGTGAGACGGGGGAGAGGGCAGGTACAGCTGACTGCCTCTAGATAGGCAGAGCCAGCTGTCAATCACGCAGCTGGGTGGATCTCGACAGTAATGTCGGGATCCGTCCCAGCTGCGGCAGTCTCAGTATACCGTGAGCTGTAGCTAGCGATATACTGAGCTTTGGGTCACAGGAGGAGGTTAGTATATGTCCTCCCGTGACCCTTAGCAGAACTATGGGGAAAAGCACTTACCCCATAGTTCTTTTTTAAGCTCTGCTCTGTGAAAGCTGTTCAAGATTTACATAATAAATCATCTTAGGATATGAGACCCTTATTAAAACCATGTGCAAGAATATGGAAGTGGCTGTCAACCAAGTGGTGAAGTAGTTGTGTTATCATGACTACAAGTAGACTTTCCTGTTTGATAGAATGATGTGATGGAAAGCCCTCCATGCTTCTACATGAGCTACATGAGCTCGAATTGTGAATTTTGTTTGCTTGTTCTTTTTTTTTTGTTAGTTCTGGATACAGTAATGGAGGGTTATAACCCTTCTGGGTTTTTTTTTTACCACCTGTGTCCCATTGGGGAGATTTCCCTTCACTTCCTGTCCGATAGCCACAACACAAAGTGAGAGGAAATCCCTCCAGAGCAAGGCAAATTCTGGTGGCCAGCAAGGTCACCAGAACAGAAAAGTCCCCTGGACAAATACACAGGATGAATCTGCCTACCAGGGGCAAAGACCGCATTAAAAACCTTACAGGTGTTCTCCACTCTATCCATAACTAAATTTAAAAAAAAATAATAATATTCATATTGGTCGAGATGGCACCCTATTATAATGATGGGATAATAGGAAGAATGAGGCGATTGGAAGGAGCAACCAAAAGTTCCAACCACAAAAAAGGGTTAAGTTATACATAAGCATATCACAGATTTTGGGGATCCCCAGGGCACTCCAGAAGAAATATAATTCTATGGGCAGGAATCTTGGATTGTCTAATATGCATTACCATGACTACACACATTTTCTTCAATATATGAAAAGTTACAAGAATATGAATTGTTTATAAGATCACCATCATACTGTAAAGGCTCAGCCACACCATATCCAGTGCGCTCCGGCACGGTCCAAGCCCGGAACGCAGTGGATCGCATAGATCAGGCCGGGCCACATTCTGGGGCGGGAAGGGGTGTGGCGGTGCCATTCATGTCAATGGCACCACAGACATGCCCCCCGCCCGCAGTGCGAGCACCCGCACTGGAACGCAAGGTACAGGAATGCCCTCTGCTGCATGCACTATTTTTTATGATCGCACTGCACTGTGAACGGAGGGTATTGCTGTGGGCGATCGCACTGCGGCCAGGGGGAATGCTTGCAGTGTCATTGCCATGAATGGCACCGTCACGCCCCTTCCCGCCCCAGAACGCAGTAATAAATTGCACAAATGTGGGGGCTTCATTTGTTTTTTTCATTTAGGCTTTTAGGCCCTTTACTTTAACCTGGGCAATCAACCAGTAAACCACTTTCTGTCTTACGGTGGCTCCGCTCCATGGTGGAAAATTGGAGCCATCCTTGGACAGCAGCATTGTCAACCTGTAGAGTGGGCACTACATTTAGCTCGTCTTGACTAATAAATAAATGTAAACTCCGGCTAATACTTTTTTTAGCAGAACTCCATGCAGAATAAAACGTAACCCATGCAGTGGGGCTACCCCTGCATTGCAAGGGTTGAGTGCTCGTTTTCATCTAGGGTCTAAAATAACAAAGATATAACCAGCCGAACCTCGGTCCCACCTGGCTGCTAGACCGGTCCCTGCAGCACGTCTCCCCCCCTCCGCTCCAGCAGTCTAAGGATCCGTAAGCCATCGTGTCTAATACAGTCTATTTGATGTGAGGAAGCTGAGAAACATTCCATTGCTGGAGCAGGAGGGGGAGAGGCTGCAGGGACCTAGAGTCTAGCAGCCAGGCGAGCTGAGGTTCGGGTGAGTATAGCTTTGTTATTTTAGACCCTGGACAAAAATGAGCACTTAACTCTTGCAGTGCTGGGGTAGCCCCACTGTAAGGGTTACGTTTTATTCTGCCCGGAGTGCTTCTTCAAATGGTTTGTCTCAACCCTCTATTTGTCACTTTTGCTGGTTTATTCTGTTAAAGAAGTTCATAAAAAACAAAAATGAGAGACTTACTGGCCAGATCACCAGGTGAAACTAAAGGAAAAAAAGAAAACTAATGCAGCTATCACATTTACCAATTGGTAAGCTACAATAAATGACATTTTTGCTTATGGGTTTAGAAACGCTTTAAGTTCCTTTTGCCCCTCCCACGCCGTAACCTGATTGATTACCTTGGCCCATCACTCCCAACCCTAGTCACCATGGCTTTTACTGACAATGTAAATGAAAAACAGTTGTATGCAAGTTGCCAAAAAAATGGCGATATAATTTCAGATCATATCTACACATTCTGAATGCACAGCTGGCCACTGTAACATAAAGCAATGATTTGCATCCACTAGGCAAGAAATCCCCTTTTCTTTTGTGAATTTGTAATCAAAGTAATATGTAAATGCATTCGGTTTCATGAAGACAGTGCTGTACTTTACTCTGGTACAAGAATGTTTGGACCCTAATGTCATGACCTGGTTATATCTATTGAAGCTAGGTGCTAAAAACATTTTAGACCAAGTAAAATATATTTAAAAAAAATAATGAAAATGGTCAATAAAAGTTATGAAGCAAAAGTTAGACAAAGTAATACACAATTTATATTGGATAGAAAAACATATATTGGGCATATTAAAACAGAAACAAATGAACAAAAGGTTTCACAAAAAACATCGCAAAACAAAGTGAAAGTAGTAAGATCCTTAAAGTGACTAAATGAAATAAAACAGAGATAAAGAAGACTGAGTTCCTACCCGGAATGATGTCATTAATGTGCAGAAGGAGAGTACTTTCCACACTGGCAAAGCTACACAGCTGGATTCCATTATATCTTCCATCCCAATTTCCTATAGGGTTGTCCTTTAAAATAAAAAAACAAACATCGGTTATACCCTTTGATCAGATCAAAACCTGTTTGCAGAATGCAGCAGTAGAAGGAGAGAATCAAATAACCTATCCTTGAACAGTAACTCTTTGTAGAGAAATGTGAATGTAGGGTATTTTAGGGCTGGGCACCAAAAAAGAACTAAAATTACAAACTTCCATTTCTGAAATAGTTTATTTTGAGTTAGCCTAACTTGGTTACATCACAGGGTGTACAGTCAGTCCAAGAAGAAAATTTCCACTACCAGCAGTGGTAGTCACATCAAGGAAACTACACATTTCCCAAGAAAAATGCACAGTAATGTAATTAGCTTAAAAAGCCCAACAAAGGAATCTGAATAAAAAAATAAGTCTGCGTTTGTTAAAAAATGTAACAATATCTTCATTTAAAAAAAAAAAAAAAAAACACAAAATACAAAACAATAGCCCTCATTCACACTGGGCTAACTGTCTGCGTCAGAGTACGAACATCCGGACCCGCACGGATGTGAAGTTTAGGTGAGCGTATGACAGCGTACGGCCGCATCCTCCCATAGGGAATGCAGCATCTGTCAATCCCGGGAACGATCCGATACAAGTTAGCTCAGTGTGAATGAGGCCATAGAATTTACATTATACAACAAACAAATAGGTTTCAGGGTAACAGGCTAGGTTTAGGACTGGGTGTGAGCCAGTGTATTAACCCTTTCAAGACTAGGAGTAATCAATACCTTTGTGACCAGATCATATTTTGGAATTTTGGTATTCAATGCTTTATTACGCAGTAATACCTTTTCAAGCCATTTGCAGAGATAAGCAAATTTCCACACCATTTTTAAGAACATGTAGGACATTCATTTGGTAATTTGGTTTTAAAAATACACAAACATTTTTTTTTATGACACGCAGAGAAATGGACAAGAATGCTAAAAAAAAAAGAAGTTAGCTTGTTTAATGTGTAGCTTTTTTGTATAAGGATTACCTAAGCAAATAGATAAGAGTATGATCTGGGGTTGCTTCAGTTGGTCAGGTCTAGGTCCAGCAACGATATGTCCCCAAATAAATGAGTCAGCTGCCATCCTGAATATACTGACTGATCAGGTTTTCTTCACCAATTGATTTTTTCTTCCCTGATGGCACATTGGGCATATTCCAAGATGACAATGCCAGGGTTCATCAGGCTCAAATTGTAAAAAAAGTGGCTCAGGGAGCATGAGACATTCTCACACATGGATTGCCCACCATAGTTCAGACCTTAACTACATTGAAAATCTTTGGCATGTGCTGGAGAAGACTATACACAGTGGTCCGACTCCCCCATCACCACTACAAAATCTTGGTGAAAATGTAATGCAACTCTGGATGGAAATAAATGTTGTGACATTGCATGAGCTTATCGAAGCGATGCCACAGTGAGTGTTGTGATCAAAGCTAAAGGCAGTCCAATTAAATATTAGTATGCAAGTTTTTTTTTTGGCCAGACTGTGTACAATATATTACAGGTATTTATATAGGGCCGACAATTTACGCAGTGCTTTACATAGTGCAAATTCACATCAGTGTAGATGCAGGTTTTGATACATACGTCGGTGCTGTAGATTTTTGTCATGCGGTACACTGCCTGTCACAGAACTCTTGTTTTCCCCACACAGCTAAAACTTCTGTGAGCAGAAACAGAGATGTAACAGGCAGCGGAAAAATATGTTGCTGGGTGCAAACTTTCCTTTCACGATGATGGTTATTCATGGTGATCACGTGATCTGTCACCACTCAGTATGGTGACCTTTCAATCAGACATGATCTCCAGCTGGAAACTGCAATGGGCTGTGGTAGATCAAAGCGATCTCAGAAACTGACAGGACTTTAATGAACGCCCTCCCAGCACAGCGAAGTTGCCGGGAGGACGTTCATTTAACCGCTTCTCAGCCGGCCATTGTAAAGAAACGGCCGGCGAGGTGCTCTCTAGATCTGAGCGGGCGTCTTTAGACGTCCGCTCAGCCACACCCCCTGTGGCGCACGCGGGAAATGCCCGATTTTTAAAAACAGCGATGCCTGTTAACATACAAGCGATCAAGGATCACTTGTATGAGGTCCCGGTATGTGCGCCCCCTCCGCAGCTCCCCCCTTCCCGCTGTCACGCTGGTCCCGGGCTCCGCTGTGCCCGGGACCAGCATAGTGCCACTCTGACAGGGGATCACAGGGAGATCGGTACACAAACTCCCTCCGGTCCCCTCTCCGCTGTCAGAATGCATATTATATTGATGTATAGTTATGTATATTACATCACTTCTGCATTCTTGTGTCACTCTCCAGCTTCAGATGCTGGAGAGAAGCTGATGAAGCAGATCTCTTGCTTCATCAGCTTCTTCAGGGGGGTCCTAGGTGGCATTAGGGGTCTTGGAGACCCAGGATGTCTCCATAAAGAGGACCTGTCACTTCTTTTGCTATCACATAAGGGGGTTTCTTAGCCCCCTATGGGATAGCAATAAAGTTAAGTGAAAAAAAAAAATAGGGAAAAAAAAATTAAAGTTTCCCCCCAAAAAATTTAAAAGTTACACATAAAAAATAATTTTCAAAAAATGTATTTTTTTTAAAGTCCCCACCCCTACGTACACGAATGCAAACAGGCGTTGGGTGCGCATACGTGCGAAAACGACGATTGCGCCCATTACGCCGCACATGTTACATATCGTCGCGAACGTCGGAATGAGAGCAATATCAATCACTTATAACACTAAACTGATGAGCGGTAAAAGCTTTTAAAGCGCCGCCTATGGTCAATTTTGGGTATGGCCGTTTTTTTTGATTTTGTTGGTGCGCGCAATTATAAAGCTTGACATGTTTGGTGTCTATTTACCTGACGTGACCCCGCCTTTTATATTTTGCCAAAAATATGGGTAATAATCATTGTTTCCTAATATAATGAAAACATTTTCAATAATTTTTCCTTAAAATGGTAAAAAATAAAAAAACTCCAGTGGTGATTAAATACCACCAAAAGAAAGCTCTATCTATCCCCAAAAAAATGGTATACAATTTATTTCAGTACAGCGTTGCATGACGGAATAAATCAGTCAAATTAGTCAGTCAAAGTACTGCAGCGCTGAATACTGAAAAATGGCCTGGCCAGGAAGGGGGTGTAAACACCTGGTCTTGAAGTGGTTAAAGTGGGTGCTCAGAAAGCGGTTAAGTAGCACATGGACTGCCATGGCAAAATTATTCATTAGAGACTACTGGACACCATCATTTTATTCTAGCATTAGAATGCCCATACACCTTACAACCATCGCAAGACTAATTAAAAGTGTGTACGATCTGCCCATCTTGGACAGGCAGATCATACTTATGATCATTGAAAGCCCGCCCCGCTGAGGTGCGGGCTTCCGATGACCGAAATGCTGAATGGGCAGTGTGCGCATGCGCACACGGGCACGTTCCGCAGTTGTCGAACGAGCACGTTTTCGTACGATGTCGTTCCGCAGTTGTACGATTCTCAGTGGGTTTTCTAGCATGCTGGTTCGACAAAAGACGTGCGATCGTACAGTAGAAACGTTCGCACGCCTTCCATACACCTTTGCAATTATCGTACGATAATCGCAAGGTGTATGGGCACCTTTATGTTAAAGCACTACTTCAGACAAATTGTTTTTTTTCTTTGTTTTTTTTTTGTTTCAACTACAGCCAAATATTGTTTATCAAATTCAACTGGTAATTTTGTACGGGTAACTGTATCCATTTGAGAGATTTCTCCTCACTTACTGCCTTTGGTGGATATTAAACTTGAGTGGAATTTGAACCACTGTCACGTTTTAAAGGAAAATGATGGGAAGAATGAAATTCCCTCATCCCCATAGTTAGAGCCAACGTATGATACTGCAGCTGTCACATGTCGATTCCAAATCGCTCATTGCCTAGTTCAACATCTTCTCCCTGCAGAGAGTGGTGGCTGTCAGTCACCACTCCCCCTAAGGATTCCCCCCCTCCCCTCTCTATTCCTCCAGCACGGACTGGAGGGACGGAGCTCGGAAGGGGCAGACACAGCTGGCTCTGGCTCTAGAGAGGCAGAGCCAGCTGTCAATCAGGCAGCGGCGTGGATCCCAACATAATCGTCAGGATCTTTCCCGACTGCAATGCAGCTAAGCGATGTGAGCATAAAGAGAACTGGGAGCATAATATAAGGTTTGGCCTTAGTGCTCTTTTAAATTCTTGAAGGAGTGAAAAAAGAGTGGTGCAGGATTCTCAAGACCTCTCATAATTTCACCTTATGGCGTGGTGTTATGGCAATGTACAGTGTCTAAAAGCTAGGCTGGCGGCACCTGCAAAGCACTTCCAAGGCCACTTTGGACAGTGACTGAAGAGAGAGTATGAGGGATTTAATCTCACGTTTAGTGTACTCATTTGTATTAAGATTATAGTCCATCACAGGAGAGAGCTTGGAGTGGTCCAAAAGGAAGGACGGTGTCAGCATGAATTCAGAGATGATTTGAGGATCTACAGCCGAGTGATACACAAATAACCTACATCTTTGTTAATAGTTAAGGTAATTGAATGCATTTTTAAAATTTAACTCATGAGTTTAGTGTCACTTTAAAGAAAAAAAAAGTGTATAATGTACTTTCCTGTGCACCTGCCAGCAGCTGGCATAGAAATGAGTGGAACCATCTGTAGAGCGACTCATGCAAATCTATGGCATCTACAGTCATTGGAAAGCTGATTCTATAGCCAGAGTATACAAGTATGGCCAGCTGTCACATAGCATTGGAAGATAGTTTTAGTCTAAATCCGAGGTCCGAATGTGATAAGAGGGGTGAGGGGGTGGCCAACGACACACATTCTTAAAGTATGCCTATTCTCTAAGAAAGTGTACTTATGTGGCAACAGTAAGCTTGCAGTCTTGAAGTCATCATATCATGATGTAGACATTTCCTAGATAACAGTGGCAGGCTGCTATACAAAGAGAAAGGGAAGATCAAATAGACAGTCTGTATTGTCTTATTTGTGCAAAGAAGGGAATCCCTCTCAACATTTATATACATGTTGCATCCCTGCCAGGAGATTGGAAACTGCAAAATATGAAGATCCAGAGGAAATCCATCTTTGATATGACTACTTGTATGTGTGAAGATCAACTTGCAAAACATCTCAAGATCCCAGAAGAGCTCACAAAAGGAAAGCAGGAGAAAGGAAAAGATTAACTTTATTTGCATACATTGCATGATATACTATATTGGGGGGGGGGGGGGGGGGGGGAGCAGAAAAGGTGTGGGGGGGGGAGTATCAAAACTGGAGCAGACAGATTAGAGCAGTTGCCCTTAGCAACCAATCAGCACCTCTCTTCAGTTCAGTTAAGATTTGAAAATGAAAGAAAGAGAGAAGCCGATTGGTTGCAGTGCACAGCTGCTCCATTTTTTCTCTGCTCCAGTTTTGATAAATTCCCCTCACTGTATTTTCTGCATGTTCCTTTGTTCTTGTTTATTCTTTTCATATAATAAAATAGAGCCTAAAACATTGTTCATGGTCTGTAAACTTAGAGTGGAACCACAGTGTAAAACAAAAAAATAATAATTTGCAAGCAGGCAGACTCTTTATTGCAGAGTTATCTACAACAAAGCAAACTTACCTGCCTGTTCACAATCTTAGCATTTGCAGCTTGGTGCACATTATAAACATAATGCCGGAATATATCAACTCTGGTGCACATGAGCATGAGTTACAGCATGCCAATCTGGCCAATCAGGGTAGCCAGAGATCCCAAACCCGGAGTAAGTACAGGTGATAATAATAATGGCTGAGAAGGTTCTCATTTATCCAGGTCATGTTGAAGCTAGTAGTAGTTAGTCACATTCAATTAGATTTGATCTGTAATGCTGAACAAGTTTCATAGCTTCTCAAAGGCTAAATTCACATCGGTGGTAAAGCCACACTGTTGAGTTGCAGTTTTATCACACCTTCCCCAGCCCCTCGTTTTAATGGTAGCACTGCAGCAACACAGTGCTGTACACATTCAAAAATGCTTTACACATACTAACATATACAGCATGCCACTTTTGACAGGCGGTGCCACTTGTCAAACGTGACAACTGGAATACATGCAATTGCACCGCAAGCGTGTGGGTACGAGATTGTGATGTGGTATTTCAATAGAACATTTTATGGATATAGAAAAAAAAAAATGCATTCAGGAGACAGCCACTGCTCCACCACCCTCTGAAAAGTGAGCCACTGTGGATCACTTTTAATAGTGCGGTGGAGAATGCCGTTCCTCCAAGCCACTTCTTCAGTTTATTTATTTGACCTAAAAAAATTAAACAAAAGGTTTCTGAAAATGTATTTTTTTTAGTTCTGAACATAAAGAAATAATAAAGTAAAAGCACCTTAGTTCACCTTTAAAGCGTACCTGTAGTATAAAAAAAAAAAAAGGAAAAAATTGCAATTGGCAGAGATGTTCAGCACATGCCATTGGGTAACAGGGAAAAGGGGGGGTGGGCGGTTTAGAGCTAAATACTGGCACTGGAAGCTGCCATCACCATACAGGGTGTCTTCTTCATACAGGGAAACCTCTAAGCAATCGATGTAAATGTGAATGAATTTGTTATTATACCTAAATACAGATTTGTTTTTCAGTTAGAGGAGGTAATGGAGGTTCTATCTCTTCCCCACTCTGTTCAAATACAAATAAGTCTCCATGTACCTTTCTTTTAATCTTCTAAGAACCTTGTATTGAAATAAAGTCAAATATTCAAATAAATCTGAAGATACAGAAAAAGGAATTGAAAAATGAAACACTTACCATATCTACTCCGACAAAATATCCAAGGCTCTCTTTCCCAGGCAGGACATCACAGAAAATCACAGTCCCAAATTCCATTCCTTCTCCTATTTTCAGAGACACTCTGGAGTTAATTTCTAGAGGAGGGATTTCTGTCTGGTTATTGTCTACTGGTGATGCATAATCACTTTCTATTTCTTCATCATCTTCCTCACACAGCTCCAATTTATCCAGAGCGACGAACACTCCGCACTCCTCGTCACATCGGAATAACTGTTTTCCCTGGTACGAACCATCTGTAAATCCCTGGCCACGGCCATCTTCCTGATGGGTGGAAAGAAATTAGATATTAGAATGATTCATGTCGTACATACACATCAATGCCTTCAGCGACCTCTTGATATCTTGCATGTGAAAATGGATCTCATTTTTAGTATTGATAATTAGAAAAAAACTATTTTAGGAAAGACAATGTCTGCTTTGGCAGGCCTATACAGCAAAATCCTATTTA